CAGGAGGCTAAGGCAGGAGAATCGCAGTGAGCCGAGATTGCACCACTGCACTCCAGTCCGGGAGACAGTGCGAGACTCCATCTCAAACAAACAAACAAAAAAACCTAAATGTGTCTTTAATAACCTCCTGTTGCAGGTTTAATATTACCCTTAGCTTGGATTCACTAGGTTCAAGCTTTAATTTCCATGTCAGAGTTATTCCCTTAGTTTCTGAAACTAAATGTTTGAAAAATTAAGTAAAATTACTTAAACACAGCATTTACATAAGGGAAAGAAATTTTAAGGTGCTTACTTTATTTTTTTTAATTTTTTTGAGACAAAGTCTTGTGCTATTGCCCAGGCTGGAGTGCAATGGCACGATCTAGGCTCACTGCAACCTCTGCATTCTGGGTTCAAGCCATTCTCCTGCCTCAGCCTCCCAAGTACCTGGGACTACAGGCATGCACCACCACACCTGGCTAATTTTTGTATTTTTACTAGGGATGGGGGTCTCACCATATTGGGCAGGCTGGTCTCAAACTCCTGACCTCAAGTGATCGATCCCCCTTGGCCTCCCAAAGTGCTGGGATTACAGGTATGAGCCGCTGCACCTGGCTAAGGTGCTTGCATTTTATACCTCCATAAGAAAAGCAAATATAGTTACTTCTTTCAGATAATATATGTATTACTTTATTATTTCTATTAAAAACAATGTAAAAAATCAGTCATATGGGAACACTTCTAGAAGCACCCCGTTTCATCACATATAATTTAGTATTAAGCTCAGAAATCAAGACAACAGAATATAGAACCGAGATATTCACTGTCAAAAATTTGCCCTGCAAAAAGAGGAATTGATATTTTGACGAATCTATGTAACTCATCAATTATCTAACACATTTTTCTGTGGAAATATATTCATTGTCTATAGCCAGAATGAAAGAGGTTTTCCCCATTTTTTTCCTTGGTAGTTAGCATTCTTTGTTTTTTTTTTTTTTTAATGACAGAGTCTAGCTCTGTCATCCTGGCTAGAGTGCAGTGGCATGTTCTTGGCTAACTGCAACCTTCACCTCCTGGGTTCAACCGATTCTCCTGTCTCAGCCTCCTGAGTAGCTGGGACTATAGGCACGTGCCACCACGCATAGCTAATTTTTGTATTTTTGGTAGAGACGGGGTTTCACTATGTTGGTTAGGATGGTCTTGATGTCCTGACCTTGTGATTCACCCACCTCGGCCTCCCAAAGTGCTAGGATTACAGGCGTGAGCCACTGCACCTGGCTGTAGCTAGCATTCTTAAAGCTAAGGCTTGGAATTCTGTTTGAAATCATTCAGTCATAAAAAACACACTTGAGAAAATTCCTAAATTCATTCCGGGAAAGAAAAAGGTAAATGGGAATTATTAACAAATGGAATATATGATTAAACACTAATTTTTTGAAACACATCTCTTTTATGTCCTTTGTAAATATTTTCTTACCTTTCAAGCCCTACTAATAAAATGTAGATTATAGTAAAAAAAAACTGATGCAGGTGGGTGCAGTGGCTCATGCCTATAATCCCAGCATTTTGTGAGGCCAGAACAGGTGGATCACTTAAGACCAGAAGTTTGGAACCAGCCCGGTCCATCTCTACTAAACATACAAAAACTAGCCTGGTGCAGTTGTGCGCACTTGTAGTCGTAGCTACTTGGGAGGCTGAAGCATGAGAATCACTTGAACCCAAGAGGCACAGGTTGCAGTGAGTTGAGATTGAGCCACTGCATTCCAGCCTGTGCAACAGAGTGAGACTGTCTCAAAAACAAACAAACAGAAACTGAAACAAAAAACCAAAACAAAAACAAACCAAAAAACAAAAAAAAAACCCTGAGGTCAAAATAAGTGAACCAATCTTTTCGAGGTACAGATCCAATTATCCACCCCACCCTGTTCACTTACATGCTCAAAAACCACCCTCCCAGGAGACACTGCACTATGCCCCCATGAATGTTCCAGGTGCATTTTATGCCATCTTACTGGGGTCAGATTTTTGTCTTTTGGAGTTTTTTTTTTTTTTTTTTTTTTACAAATTTTTCATGATTTTTCTTTCACTATTTTTCTGCCACACCCAAGAGAATCCAAGGGGCATAAATTATTTGGTTTTCCCTCAATACCAGCATCTGATTGGCTGACCAGCAATGTGTCTCCAAGAAATGGAAGCTAGGTTGGATGAAGACAATCTTCACGTCTCAAGGGGTTAGCTTTTCCAAAAACAAACAAACAAACAAACAAACAAAAAAATGCACCAGGAGATGCCTTTCAGCCCCAAGGCTGCCACCTGCTCCCTTGCCAGGCTACACTCCATACCTCAGGTAGTCCTATGGGAGAAAATGACCAAGGGCTAATAGTCACTAGACACTCTAGCAGACATAGCCATGGTGGGTATCTTGGTTTATCCCCAGAAAGTACTAAAACCCAGGACCAGAAAAAACCAGAAAGTTGCCTGAGGACACATCACCCTATAAAGTTTCCGAAGAGTAATCTTGACCCGAAAACATTCCGTTAAGTTCTCTGGCAATATAAAGGAAAAAGAGGCACAGATATTTTTTACAATACAGTGTCAGGCGGGTATTCCTTGCTTTCTTCTCATAAGAACTATTTACAAACAAAAAACAAATTTTTCATTAGTATTATGAAACGCTTTAAACAAATTATTAATTGAGGAACATGGGGTACACTTGAGGCCCTGCTTGGGACACATGTGAAAAATGCCAGGGATAATCAGACCCCTATGGGGTGTGAAAATAATTAAGGGGCAGGCAATTAGACTGAGGAGGCTCTAGTCCCCGGATTCCTACTTCCAAAAAAAAAAAAAAAAAAAAAAAATCTAAACTCAAGTGCATTTTTTGGTAAATTACTACATTAAGGGAAACAAAATTCAGGCTTAAAGAGCTATAAACTGCCAATTAAGCTCTGAATACATAACCAGGAAATTTCCACCTTGATTGCACAAATTAAGAAACTACGCAACTAAGCCCCAACCATGGACCACAAACTACAAAGCTGGGTGCTCCACAATTCTTTTTTTTTTTTTTTTTTTTTTTTTTTGAGACGGAGTCTCGCTGTGTCGCCCAGGCTGGAGTGCAGTGGCTGGATCTCAGCTCACTGCAAGCTCTGTCTCCCGGGTTTTTACGCCATTCTCCTGCCTCAGCCTCCCGAGTAGCCGGGACTACAGGCGCCCGCCACCTCGCCCGGCTAGTTTTTTGTATTTTTTAGTAGAGACGGGGTTTCACCGTGTTAGCCAGGATGGTCTCGAACTCCTGACCTCGTGATCCGCCCGTCTCGGCCTCCCAAAGTGCTGGGATTACAGGCTTGAGCCACCGCGCCCGGCCGGGTGCTCCACAATTCTTGAATCACTCTTTGATTAAATTATTTGATATTTTGGCAGTGACTCACATAATTTTTTTTGAGACAGGGTCTTGCTCTGTCGCCCAGGCTGGAGGGCAGTGGCGTGATCTCAGCTCAGTGCAACCTCCGCCTCCCAGATTCAAGACATTCTCTCACCTTTGCCTCCCGAGTAACCGGGGTACAGACATTCACCATCACACCCAGTTAATTTTTGTATTTTTAGTGGAGCTGTATTTTGGCCAGGCTGGTCTTGAACTCCTGACCTAAAGTGATCCACCAGCCTCCGCCTCCCAAAGGGTTGGGACTACAAGCGTGAGCCACCGCGCCCGGCCCCATAAATTCTTAATTGGTCAAAAGGAAACTGTGAACCCCACGACCAAAGCTCTCCCCATGCATGAATCCGCACTCCGAATCAGGATTCTCCCCTGACAACCCTCCCCTTGGTCCCTGCACAATCTGGGAGAGACGTGGCGCTGCCGGTGCAGAGCTGCCCGGAGAGGGCTCCAGGCCAGGGCACAGTCACCACGCAGGGAAGAGACAGGACGCCCGGGGCCCCGGCTGTCAGCGCAGCCGCTATCTTATGGCTGAAGGGGACTGAGGCCGAGCTGGGCAAGGAGAACTCCGGGCGCCGATTGTGGAGCTGACTGCAGGGAGACCTGAGGGCCCGCTACAGCCACCTTCCACTGGTTTCAACCAGCACCCCCCCCCCCGCCCACCTCCCGAGATGTCGGACCGGACACATTCACCATTTCTACGTTTCCAGGGGGTCCCGGAGTCTTAGCTGTGGATCTTTCAATACGTTCAGGTCACAGGACCACATAAGCTGGCCCTGTAGGAGCAGAGGACACAGAGCAGTGAAGACAAGTCCTTGAGCTCCAGCTGCAGGGAGAGACAAAGGCCCCGCCAAATCCGAAGCCGTTCTGTTCGCTCCAGCTGCGTGCCTGATTGGACGGTTTCCAGCCCGATGTCCCCGATTGGATAATGCTGAAGGCCCCGCCCCCGCAGGCCCTGAGTGACAGAAGATGAGATCAGATGCTGGGCTGAATGAGAAAAGAACAGCCTAACCTGCAGACTTTTCAGGCAGGGCTTCCTCCCTGAGCTAAGCCAGTCCCATCCCAGAGCATGGGAATATTCTTTTACTCTCTGTTTTTGAATGTATTCAAAAGGTGAACAGAAGTATTTTGCTGTCATATTAATAATACCTACAATTTTTATTCAAGAGAAAATCAACTTTTACTTTGGTAATAGTGTATTATCTATACTAAAGCTAATTTTAATGTAACTTTATAAATAAACCAAATTTGTCATTTTTGACCACTCCAGATTTACATATATATTTTGTAATCTCTTGTATTTTTTTAACTTTTTATATTTTATTTGTATTTACATTCTTTTTAGTTTTTCAGTTTGAAACAACCTTTCAGTAATTTCAAACTGCTATAGTAGATAGAAAGAAATCATTTAGGGCCAGGCACTGTGACTCACGCCTGTAATCCCAGCACTTTGGGAGGCCAAGGTGGGAGGATTGCTTGAGGTCAGCAGTTCAAGACCCGCCTGGCTAACATGGTGAAATCCCATCTCTACTAAAAATACAAAAAATTAGCTGTGCGTGCTGGTGCACACCTGTAGTCCCAGCTACTCTGGAGGCCGAGGCAGGAGAATCGCTTGAACCCAGGAGGCAGAGGTTGTGTAACAGCTCAAGGGGCTCGCGTTGCCCTTTGCCTAGACAGAGCCAATTCATCAGGACAGGAGAATTTGTGGAGGAAAAGTTAAATATTAAATTTGAACTCAATTGAACGTGGACACAAACAATGGTCACCAAGTCCTAGAACAGGTTGTGTGAGCCCCTTGAGACGATCATCCAACTCTGTTATGGAGAAATCTCTATTTCAATCTATTTTTATACTTTAGTTATTGAAAAATGATAGACAATTGCAAAAAAACCAAGTTGACCTTATTGTGTTCCTTGGGCCCAGTCGCCAAGGACCTTTGTGACTGGGCCTTATGGTAAACAACTCATTACAACAAGAGCTAGTGTCCCAAACACGCGGAAGCTTCATGAGACCTCTCCTCATCTGTGTCCGGACGGGTGGCTGAATCTGGAGCCAAAGCTGTTGCTTCTCAGTCTGGTCGTGAATCCTCCATAGTTTGGTGAGTGTAAGATCTGACTCTGGAGCCCAGGCTGTTGCTTCTCACTCTGGTGGTGAATCCTCCATAGTCTGGTGTGGAGGAAAAGTTAAATATTAAATTTGAACTCAATTGAATGTGGACACAAATAGTGGTCACCAAGTCCTGGAACAGGTTGTGTGAGCCCCTTGAGGCATTTTTCCAGAGCTGTTTTGGAGAAATCGCTATTTCAATCTATTCCTATACATTAGTTGTTTAAAACAATAGACAATCACAAAAACAAGTTGATTTTTTTGTTGTTGTTTCTTGAGACCAGTTGTGAAGGGCTCTGGTGACTGGGCCTCATGCCAAACAGCTTATTACAAAAGAGCTTGGGTACTAGACTGCGCTGAAGCTTCATGAGACCTTTCCTGGCCCACTCTGGAGCCCAGGCTGTTGCTTCCCAGTCTGGTGGTGAATCCTCCATAGTCTGGTGAGTGTAAATATATATATATCTCTTTTTTCTTCTCCTCTTCCCATTGCAACTTGCTTGTTATATCAATCTGCTTCTTATATTGATTTGCTTATTATATCATTTATTTATTATATCTGCATTGCCATTTACATGGGATAAAGCTTGTTTACTCTTAAATGTATTGTGTGTGTCTTTTCTTCTCCCCTCACACATTTCCCATACAGCTCATTTTTGGCATCACAAACAGGATTCGAAAACAAAAGTGTGGCCGGGAGCGGTGGCTCAAGCCTGTAATCCCAGCACTTTGGGAGGCCGAGATGGGCGGATCACGAGGTCAGGAGATCGAGACCATCCTGGCTAACACAGTGAAACCCCGTCTCTACTAAAAAAAATACAAAAAAAAAAAAAAAAAAAACTAGCCAGGCGAGGTGGCGGGCGCCTGTAGTCCCAGCTACTCGGGAGGCTGAGGCAGGAGAATGGCGTAAAGCCGGGAGGCGGAGCTTGCAGTGAGCTGAGATCCGGCCACTGCACTCCAGCCTGGGCGACAGAGCAAGACTCCGTCTCAAAAAAAAAAAAAAAGAAAACAAAAGTGTGTCGCTTTTTTGTCCACAAGGATGGGGCTGAAAGCTCAGAGACTTTCCATATCCTGGGATGGGAACTCCCCCAGTTTTCCCTTTGGTGGTTGAATGGTCCAGGGGAACTGGCCTTTGTGAGAATTGGGAATCTAAATTAGCGCAATTTAAACCTTTGACTGTGTGTGAAGTGCTGCAGGGGATTCCAGTCACCAAAGGACAGGCTGAGGGGATCTCCCAAAGTGGATAGTGTTTGCTTACTGCTTATAAGTTAATGTATCAAGAGAGGGGCTGGTTGCTACAAAAGAAATGTAAGCTGGAAAAGGAAAATGCTACTCTGACTTCCAGACTGACCTGGGCCCAATGCCAGGCCTATGTCTTGACTGATAGGGCTCAAAGCTATCAGTGTATTGCTGAAAAAACAGCTGTCCGAATGGCTGGTCAGGGTAAAAGTGAAGAATTAGTCAGCTGGGGCTTGGAGCAGGTAAAAGCCCAGCTCCTATTTCAAGGATGGGAAATTAACCTAGTAAAATTCAAGGAACTGCACAAACTGTAAAACTCCTTGACATCCTATGGAATGCAGGGAAATAGTCCATTTTACCAAAGGCTAAGGCTAAAATACTAGAATTTGCAACCCCTACCACTAAAAAGGAGGCCCAGAAATTTATTGAATTGTTTGGATTCTGGAGACATCATATTCCCCACTTGGGTAACATTTTACAACCTCTGCATGCAGTCACTAGAAAATGCTATGAGACAGACAGCATGGCTTCTGAACAAGCTAAACAAGCGGTGCAACCATCCCTAGATCTATGGTCCATACAGGATGGGCCAGGAGAACTGCAAGTAACTGTCCTAGATCAACATGCTAATTGGAGACTTAGGCAGAAGCAAGATGGGAAGAGGGTACCTCTCGGGTTTTGGACCCAGAAACTGGCAGAGGCCAGCAAAGCTTATAATCCTTTCTGGAAGCAATTGTTAGCTTGCTGTTGGCTTTGCCAGAAACAGAACACCTCTGCTTCAACCTGTGGGGAAAAGAAAGAAAGATCAGACTGTTCCTGTGTCTATATAGAAAGAAGTAGACATAAGAGACTCCATCTTGTTCTGTATTTGAGATGCTGTTAATCTGTGACCCTACCCCCAACCTTGTCCTTGCAAGAGACATGTGCTGCGGTGACTCAAGGCTTAATGGATTTTGGGCTGTGCAGGGTGTGCTTTGTTAAACAAGTGCCTGAAGGCAGTTTGCTGGTTAAAGGCCATCACCATTCTCTTAATCTCAAGTACCCAGGGACACATACATGGCCAAAGCTCGCAGGGACCTCTGCCTAGGAAAGCTAGGTATTGTCCAAGGTTTCTCCCCATGTGATAGTCTGAAATATGGCCTCGAGGGAAGAGAAAGAGCTGATCATCCCCCAGCCCAACACCCGTGAAGGGTCTGTGCTGAGGAGGACTAGTACAAGAGGAAAGAAGGCCTTTTGAGGGATGTTGGCAGTTAAGATAGAGAAAAGCATCTGTCTCCTGCCCGTCCCTGGGCAATGGAACATCTCGGTGTAAAACCCGATTGTATGCTCTGTTTACTGAGATAGGAGAAAACCGCTTACGGCATAAGGTGGGACTTGCTGGCGCAATGCTGCTAAAAGGTGTATGGAGATGTTTGCATATGCATCTCAAGGCACAGCATTTTCCTTTGAACTTATTCATGTCACAGAGATCTTTATCCATATGTCTTACTGCTAATTTTCTCCCTACAATGATCCTATTGTCCTGCCATTCCCTCATCTTTAAGATGGTAAAGACAATTATCAATAAATACTAAGGGAACTCAGAGACTGGTGCCGGCGTGGGTCCTCTGTATGCTGAGCGCCGGTCACCTGGACCCACTTTTTCTTTGTCTATACTTTGTCTCTGTGTCTCATTTCTTTTCTCAAGTCTCTCATTCCACCTAATGAGAAACACGCACAGGTGTGGAGGGGCAGGCCACCCCTTCACAACCATAATGTCTTTTTGAGGCCTGAAATTCCTATTATGACTTGGGTTATGAGTTCCCCCAAAACTCACCTGATAGGGCATGCCCAATGAAGTAGCATCATAGAATGGAAATGGTACATACAAGACCAGGCTAAGCCGAAACCAAATGGGGTATCATTTGTGTTTTGAGACAGAGTCTCACTCTGTCACCCAGGCTGGAGTGCAGTGGCTTGATCTTGGCTCACTGCAACCTCTGCCTCCCAGGTTCAAGCGATTTTCCTGCCTCATCTTCCAGAGTGGCTGGGATTACAGGTGAGCACCACCACGTCTGGCTAATTTTTGTATTTTTAGTAGAGACGGGGTTTCACTATGTTGGTCTGGCTGGTCTCGAACTCCTGTCCTCGTGATCCACGCTCCTCAGCCCCCAAAGTGCTGGAATTACAGCGTGAGCCACCGCGCCCGATAGGGGTATTATTTTTATATGAGGATGTACAAAACCTGCCAGCTCAGGAAACCACTGAGCAAGTCCTGCAGATAGGAAAGAAAACCTCCCACATCTAATGGGGCAAATCCTTTAAAGAACTAAGCCCAGAGGATCAGAAACATGCTTGGTTTACCGATGCATCCACCAATGGGACCTGATGCTGGAAGGCCGTGGCTTATAATCCTGTTAAAAACATCAGCATTTCTGATGAAGGAAGGGGTGGGAGTGTTGGAACCGAACTGTCGATTCCCTCCTGGGCAGGTCGCCGTGAAGGATCACCGACACGAGATTCACAGCAGAGAGTTATTTATTACTAGTGCGCTAGGGTCCTAAGCTCTAAGTTGGCCCTGGGACCCCGACTGCTTGTTACAGGCTGTTTATATAGGCAAACATAAGTTCAAACACAGCTTATGGTGCGAAATTCAAACAAAGCTTAAGGCGCAAAATGATTGGGTCTCGCTATGGCCTGAGCAAGGTGTCTTATGCTAATTGGTTAGAGCAGGACCTTATGAGGTTTTTTCCTGGAGTTGTTGATTCCGGGAACTTCGAGGCAGGGTGGGACCCCCGGAATTGGCAGGGTGGGACCCCATGAGGTTGTTTCCTGGAATTGGCAGGGTGGGACCCTATCAGGGTGGGTCCCTATCGAGGCAGGGTGGGACCCTATCCAGAGCCACCTGGTGTTAATTTTTTCTATATGAGGCCTAGTTTCTAAGTTTTATGAGGCCTAGTTTCATTCCCTCCTCTTTTTGTGTCAGAGGCTCAATCTTGAGCCTCTTCTTCAGTCCTGAGGGTCTGGTATTGTTGGGTCAGAACCATAGCATGTACTATGTTTAATCTATTTCTAATAAGGGTGAGTAAGCGGTTGAGTATGCATGGCCCGAAAGTCAGGATGAGCGTGAGCAGGATGAGGGGTCCTAAGATGGTGGAGATTAGGGTGCTAAGCCAAGGGGATTGGTTGTACCAATTTTCAAACCAATTTTGCTGAGATTCTCTCTCTTTTTTTCTCTTGTCTAATCTTTCTCTTAGTTTTGCCATAGAATCTTTAACTACTCCTGAATGATCTGCATAAAAACAACATTGCTCTTTCAGGGCTGCACAGAGCCCGCCCTCTTTCAGAAAGACAATTTCTAGTCCTCGTCGGTTTTGTAATACAACTTCAGACAGAGAAGTCAAGGACTCTTCAAGTTTTGTGATAGATTGTTCTATGGCTTTAAGGTCTTCATCTATGGCTACTCTAAGTTGTTGCAGATGATGGTTACCATGCACTAGGGCTGCTGTCCCAGTCTTAACTCTAGCCGCTACCCCAATTCCTAACATGACGGCGAGGGTGAGGGAGATAGGTTCTCTCTTTGGTCTAGTATGAGTTTTTTGCTCATACCGGAGATTAAAGGAGTCTCCAGAGTGATAGTATACTCGGGGAACAACTTGTACCAACACGCAATAGTGGGTGCCACTGCTAAAAACGGCTGTGGATACACAGGGGGTGAGCCTAGTGTTGCAAGCCCACCAGTCCGTCTCGGAGGGGACCAAATAGTGATTGGAGCTGGGTACTGTCAAGGTTACATTACAAAGATGCTGATGACTAGGGGGCACTTGGCCTATGCAGGTTCCCGACCCAGAAACTTCAGCCAGGGTTAGTTTTCTTTGTTGTTCCTATGCGCATCCAGTAGGATTGGTGGAATTAGTGAAATTATTAGTGGAGGCAATGCCTTCATAGTAAGGGGGGCCTGTTGCCAGACATAGCCAGCAAGAGGAGGTAAATTCTGGCTTTGTCTGGTTTAAAGCGAAATAGGAGCCCTTTATGAGATTTAGGAGCCTGTCACCTATTCCCAGGTCAAGGGGCCCGCGGGTGACGTTTTGGGCTGAGGGTGTGTATTTAGAGGAGGTGGAGATTAAAGGCAGGGAAGTGCTTTTAGGAGCTCTTGGTTGGGGCTCTCTTGGTGCAGGAACCAGGGGCTTCCTTGTTTCTGATAAAACTTGGTTTGGTCCTACTG